AGTACCTGGCAGCACAGAGTTGCTTACATCTGGAGGGGAGCTGAGTATGTGTGCTAGTTGAAATGCATGACCATGACTGCAGATAACAGAAAAATACAGCTTATATAGTTTCCTTTAATCACCCAACTTACACAAACTCAGTTTTATTTTTTGAATATTTGTCATGTGAAAATATTAACTTGTACAAAAGACTGCACATTATTTATTTTTTGCAGCACTCATCAATGTGTCTGCACCTAAGAGATGCTCATTAAATGTTTATCAAATGACAACAGGGTCTGAATTCTGGAATTGACTCCTGGACAATTTGTAATTAAAATGATATTCCTAATTACTACAGTCAAATATATTATCATTCAGATAATCAACCAATGTCAAAGTAAGTTAGAAAATATAGACTTTTCCTGAAAAGAACTACAAATCTCATCAACTTTACCAACACACAGAACAACTATGAACAGAAAAAACAGGAATTAACAGCTAATCTGTTACGGAGGTAGATGAATAGGAAACAAACTTACATAACTCTGTAAGCTATTGCTGGTTAAGTAGTTATGGTATTGAAGCCTCAACTCCTCTGGTGAAATGTCTGTAAAACCTGAAGTGAGGAATCAATTGGAATCTTTAAAATAAATGTCAATAATTCTGATAGTAAAGGTAGAGGTATTAGACAAGAAAATATGCTAATGTCGATTATTTAAAAATTTTCCTAATTATAAGGAAAAATTCAAAGCCTACACTACACTTAATGTTTATTAAAGTATAAGACTAGATTACAGTTGAATGTTCACCTATTTGAGTGGGGAAGAATTATCTAAAAATATGTGAGCGAAAGGAATAACAAAGAAAAAGAACTGACTACGCATACATTTGAACTTAAAAAAAAAATTCTGTATATTAAAAACTACAATAAGCAAAATTAAAAGGCAAAGGGTAAACTGGGAAAACAGAAATTGCAACATGTATGACAGGAGAAAAACTAATATCCTTAATGTATAAACAGCTCTTACAAATCAATAAAGTTTCTATGGGCAAAGATTATGAACAGACAATTCACACGCAAGAAAACAAAAATGCAAACAAAAAAACCTCAAACAAAAAACTCAGCCAGTAAATAAGTGAAATAATAAAAAGTTCAATTTAAAATAGAGACAAAATGCTTTACTTTTCAGACTGGCACAAATATAGTCTTTATTAAGGATGTGGTAAAACAGAAACTCTCCTAAGTGCTACTAAGGGAACTAAAAAGGTACAGCTTTACTGTGGGAAAAATTGCCAATAAGCATCAGCTGTCTTAAAAATGTTCATGCCCTTTACCTGTACTACAATTTCCAGGGTATGACCTCAGGAAATAGATATATAAACAAACCATGTTACGTATAAGAGTATTCCTTCTAGTATTTTTAGTAATAGAGACAAACTGAAAACAAAAAGGATACGAAGTATTTTTTTAATTTTATATAAACAAGAAATGTGTGTGTGTTTTAGAATACATTAAAATGTTAGTTATCTCTGTGATATCAGGTATTTTTTATTCTATTTACACATTTCTGTATTTTCCAAGTTTTCTACAGCCACACCTATTAACTTTTATAATCATGAAAATGCTTTTATTAAGAAAATGTTTAGCATGTATTCAGGATGTTCTAGAGAATTCCTTGTAACCCAGATATCATTAACTACAAGGACACCTAGCTCAGAAGAGACTACACTTTCAATCAGAACCTTGGATTCCCTCTAACAGCTTGTTTCACTAACTTTATTAATCACTCACATCAAAAACCTAGGACCATCTCAATTTCCTCTTTCCAACACTCAATTAAATCAGCATCCTGCCAGTTCTAGCTCTAAAACAGAGCCCGAATTTGACATGTCTCCATTGCTATAACTCTGATCTGGTCATCATTTGCAACTGCTTCTACTCTTCCCCCAACAAAAACGATTTTTCACACAGCAGCCAGTGAGCTTTCTCTAATCAGATCATATCCCTCTCCTCTTCATGGCTGCTTAATGCAATTATGTCCAGCATGATCTGGTCACAGGCTGCCTCTGTGGCCTCTTCATATTGTTTCCCTTGTTTACTCTCCTCCAGTGATTCAGGCCTCACCAGTCCTCAAACATGACAACCTTGTTCCATCTCAGGGCCTCTGCACTAGCTATTCCTGCTGCCAGGAATGTTTTCCCCAGGATCTTCCCATAAATGACACTTAACTACTTCCCAGAACTTTTCATTCAGGACTTGGTTCCAATATCGCCTAAGAAAGGCTAACTACTGTCTCCCAGTTACTTTCTATTTCTTCCAGTCACACTCAACTGAGGTTCCTCATATGAAGCACAGAATACAGAAAATAATTTGACGATTTTCTCGATTTTTCCCAAGGGTAAAAGGTATTACAAGTTATTATCATTCTTGCTGCACACCCATTGTTGTCAAGATTACAACTCATAGCAATCCTATAGGACAGAGTATAACTGCCCATAGGGTTTCCAAGGCTGTAAATCTTTACAGAAGCAGATTGTCACATCCTTCTGCGGAGTGGCTGGCAGGTTTGAATGCTGATCCTTCGGCATTGAAGTTAATTCATTATATATATATATACATATATATATATATATATATATATATATGGATGCCTAATGGCAGATGCTCAAATGTTTTGGTCTCAGGATCCATTTAATATACTTAAAAATCATTAAGGAACCCAAAGAACCTTTGTTTACATGGATTACTTATATTAACATTTATCATATTCTAAATTAAAGCTAATTCAGAAAAAAGTAACTTTTCTAAAATAAAGAGAAATAAGTGGCATTGTTCAATATCTGTCAATCTCTTTAATGACTGGTTTAACAGATTAGTGGAGTCTCACATTTATTTTTGTACTCAATCTGTTCCAGTACGTTGTTCTGGCTGAAATATATAAAGAAAACTTGTCCTCACACAGATATGTAGTTGGAAAAAAAAGCTTTCCTTCCTTTTTTTTTTTGGTATGTTTTATTGTTGAGAATATACACAGCAAAACATACAACTCAACAATTTCTACACGTACAGTTCAGTGACACTGATTACATTCCAGTAATGCAACCATTCTCACCCTCCTTTACTGAGTTGTTCTTCCCCCATTAATATAAACTCAAAGCCCCCTAAGGTTCCTATCTAATATTTCGAGTTACCATTTTTAATTTGATCCCATATAGTTCTTAAAAGAGCGCAATGTGCAAGGCAGACGTTATTTACTAGTTAAGCTAAACTATTATTTAGTTTTATAGGGGCTATATTTTTAAGGGGAAAAGGAAAACTTTAGTATCATTCCAGGTAATTGTGAATATACTTCGATACTACACCAAAACTTGACAAATGATAGTTTCTTAAAGGTTAGTTACGAGAACTCAAACCACATTAATAAAATTTCTGGGCTATTGTATTAAAATCCATTGGTCTCTCATTTAAAATGAATTTTTAGTCATGCATAATTATATATCATCATGCACCGGTCATTTGGAAAATATTGGCTCAAGTTACATAGAATTTCTAAATGCTGGCATGAGATTTTATACCAAAAAATCCACATTTTTCAATGTCATCACCTGTCACATCAGAAGCTGTCAAGTTCATGAAGGCAGGAAAGAGTTCTCCATAATCCTAATTTTTGCCTGAAAGCTTGAATTTTGTCACTGGAAATAAACACTGCCAGTTGCTTTTTGAAGTACAGACACATTTTGAGAAAACGACTGCCGAATGCTTACGTCTGAATAGCCAGTTTTTCTGTCAGTCATTCTTTCAAACAAAAATGGCCTGTGACTGTGGGGACCTTGGTCTCGGGGAACATCTAGCTCAATTGGCGTAACAGTTTATAAAGACAATGTTCTTCATTCTACCTTGGTGAGTAGCGCCTGGGGTCTTAAAAGCTGTGAGCAGCCATCTAAGATACTCCACTGGTCTCACCCCTTCGGGAGGAAGGGAAAATGAAGAGAACAGGATACAAGGAAAAGATTAATCCAAAGGACTGATGGACCACAGCTATCAAGGCCTTCACCAGACTGAGTCCAGTACAGCTAGATGGTACCTGGCTACTATCACTAACCGCTCTGACTGGGATCACAACAGAGGGTCCTGGACAGAGCTGGAGAAGGATGTAGAACAAAATTCTAACACACACAAAAACGACCAGATTTACTGGCCTGAGAGAGACTGGAGAAACCCTGAGAGTATGGCCCCCAGAAACCCTTTTAGCTCAGTGGTGAAGTCACTCCCGAGGTTCACTGTTCAGCCAGGGATTGGACAGCCCCAGCCCCACAACACTGGACTAATGAGGGACAGCATTCCAGGGACAAGGACTAGAAGGCAGGAGGGAAGAGGAAAGCTGGTGACAGGGAACCCAAGGTTGAATAAGGACAGTGTTGACATGTAGTGGGGTTATTAACCATTGTCATATGGCAACACGTGTACTGTTTATTGAGAAACTATTTTGTTCTGTAAACCTTCATCTAAAGTGAGAACAGCAGCACAAATGGAAGAGCGTAGTCGATGTGACCAAACTGTGCACGTAGAAATTTCTGAAATGATGTATCTTTGGCTATGTATATTTTCACCCCCCCCCCCAAAAAAAAGGTTGAGAAGGGAGAGGGTTGACATGTCATGGGGTTGTTAACCAATGTCATAAAACAATATGTGTACTACTGTTTCATGAGAAACTATCTGTTCTGTAAACCTTTACCTGAAGTACAATTAAAAAAAAAAAAGCGACCTGTGAAAAAAGTAGCTAGGTCAGCTCACAACTCAATCACACAAGTGCTGTCTGCAATTAAACTATCATACTTGGGTATGCAGCACAGCATGTTAAGTGTACCTTCCATTTTTCATCCAGGATACCAAAAAGGTACATACTCCAGGGTCAAGATTTAATAATTTTTACCTCCTCGTCAACTACATTTTTAAGTGAAATTGGCATTAAAAAAATTTTTTTTTTTGAATTGTGACTAGTAGTGGAGTTTGGTGCCTCTGCCTTGATTTGGGCTAAGATTCAAGTTGTTTTATTCATCAATACTTTTGGCACCATCAGTGCAAATGTCGACACAGTAAAAACAGCAATTAATGTCTCAGTATTATTATAAAAATATCTTTGAATTTCACTCTGGGCACTGCTTTCATTGCATTCCAAAGGTTTTGCTGTGTTTCCATTTTTGTTTAATTCTAAGTATTTTTCAAATTTCACATTTGACTTCTTGTGACCCATCTGGTCTTTTAGTAGTGTGTTATTTCCATGGATTCATTTATTTTTCCTTATTCTTCTTGTTATTGATTTCCAGCTTCATTCCATTATTGTCAGATTAAGATGCTTTGTATGATTTCAATCTTTTTAGATTTATTGAAATCTGCTTTGTGTCCTAAAATACGGTCTACTCTGGAGAATGATCCATGTGCATTGAGCACCGCTGGTTGCTGTGTTCTATATGTCTGTTAGGTCCAATTGGTTAATGATGTTATTCAGGTCTTCTGTTTCTTTATTCGTTTTCTTTCCAGTTGTTCCGTCATCAAAAGTGGTGTATTAAAGTCTTCTACCATTATTGTAGATCTATTTCTTTAATTCTGTTAGAGTTTGCTGTATAAATTTTGGGGCTCTGACATCAGGTGCACAGATATTTGTAATTGTTATGTCTTGGTAAACTGAGCCTTTTCTTGTTACATAGTGTCCTTGTCTCGCTTCATGAATTTTGATTTAAAATCTGTTTTGTCAGTTGTTAATACTGCTATTCCTGTTCTCTTCTGAGTACTGTTTGCCTGGTATGTTTTTTCCCCCCAACCTTTGACTTTTAACCTATTCATGTCTTTGTGTCTAAGGTGTGTCTCTTGTAGACAACATATGGATGGGTCATTTTAATCCATTCTGCCACTCTGTCTCTTGACCGGAGCATTTAATCCGTTTGCATGCACTGTAATTACTGATATAGGATTTACTTCAGCCATTTTGTTATACTTTTCTTTTTGTGAGGTTGATGGTTTCTTGGTACCTCTTTACCTTCAGTGCTGAATTATGGATAAATTTTTTCCCTTTTATTTATTATCGTTGTTTTGTGATTACTGAGTCTTATTGTTTCCCTTCTTTATTTTGGTGAATAGATTTCTTTACTTTGTGGTTACCGTGAAGTTTAAATTTAACATAGTACATTTGAAACGATTTGTTGTATCTTGAAATTGCCTTAACTTCCACAACATGTGAAAATTCTGTATCTATACCAATCACCCTCCCTTTTATTTTGATATTGTTGTCAATTATAACTTTGAGAGTCCCTATAATCTCACTTTAAATTTATTTTGTTGTTATATGTATTCAGGCGACTGTTAAGTGTTGTTACTATGGGTTGCTGGCTGGCGTCATTGGTTTTCTTTCTGGAAGACTCCCTTTAATAGTTCTTGTAGGGCTGGACTGGTGGTTACGAATTCCCTTAATTTCTGTTTATCTGGGAATATCTTAATTTCACCCTCGTTTCTGAACAACAATTTTGCTGGGTATATTATTCTTGGTTGACAGTTCTTTTCTTTCAAGACTTTGTATATATCATCCCACTGCCTTCTTGCCTGCATAGTTTCTGATGAGAAATCAGCAGTTAATCTTATTGGGACCCCTTTGTAAGTGATATTTTGCTTTTCTCGTGCTGCTCTCAAAATTCTTTCTTTATCTTTGGTTCTGGAAAGTTTGATTATGATATGTCTTGGTGTATTTCTCTTAGGGTTTAGCCTATATGGAGTTCGCTGAGCTTCTTCAACGAAAATCTTCTTGTCTTCCATGATATTTGGGAAATTTTCAGCCATTATTTCTTCAAAAATTTTTTCTGAACTTTTATTACTCTCTTCTTCTTCTGGAATTCCCATTATGCGTATATTGTTTTTCTTGATGGTGTCCCACATAACCCTTAAGTTCTGTTCATGTTTCTTCATTCTTGTTTCTATTTGTTTCTCAAACTGAGTAATCTCAGAGGTTTTGTCTTCTATTTTGCTGACTCCTCCTTCCAATGTTTCAATTCTACTTCTGTGTTCTTCCATTGAATTGTTAAGTTCTGTTATTTTGTTATTTAGCTTTGGAATTTCTAGTTGTTTTTCATTTAAGGCTTCTATCTCTTTACTGAGTTTCTCATTTTGTTCTTGTATTGTTTCCCTGAATTCTTCTAGAACTCTTCCTGTGTTTTCCTTTATCTCTTTGAGAAAACTTAATACTAGGTTTCTGAAGTCTTTGTCAGGAATTTCATAGCAATAACTACCTACATTAAAAAAAAAAAAAGAAAAAAAAGATCTCAAATCAATAGTTTAACCTGACAACTTAAATAAAAAAGGAGTAAAAGAAGCCTGAAGCTACTAGAAAAAAGGAAACAGTAAAGATTAGAGCAGAAATAAATGAAACAGAGAATAGAAAAATGATGGAAAGAATCAACAAGACCAGAAGTTGATTTCTTTGAAAGATCGATAAAACAGACAAAACACTGGCTAGACTGACGAAGGAAAAAATGAGAAAATGCAAATAACCAAAATAAGAAATGAAACTGGAAACATTAAAATGACAGATCCAACTGAGATAAAGAGGGTCATATAGACCACCATCAAAAATTGTACTCCAACAAACTTTAAAACTTAGATGAAATGAACAAATTCCTAGAAACATACAACCTACCTAAACTAACACAGAGGTAGAAAATCTAAAGAGACCCATAACAAGAAATTGAATCTGTCATCAAACCGCCTGCAAAAAGAACCCTGGACCAGATAACTTCACAGAGGAATTTCACCAAACTTTCCGAGAACAACTGACACTAATCCTACTCAAACTCTTCCAAAACATAGAAAGAAGGAATCTCCCTAAAAGATTCTATGAAGCCAGCATCGCCCTGATATCAAAGGCAGATAAAGATATCAAAAGAAAAGAAAATTACAGACCAGTAATCTCTCATGAATATAGATGCAAACATTCTCAAAATTCTAGGGAACAGAACTCAACAACAAATTAAGAAAATTATACACCATGACCAAGTGGGATTTATCCTAGGAAGGCAGGGGTGGTTCAACATTAGACAATCAATCAATGTAATGCACATTAATAAAACAAAGGAAAAGAACCACATGATCATCTCAATAGATGTAAAAGAAGTATATCATAAAATCCAACACCTTTTCCTGATAAACTCTCAGCAAAACAGGAATAGAAGGGAAATGCTTCAACATGATTAAGGGTATATACAAAAAACCAACAACCAACATTATACTGAATGGAGGAAGACTGAAAGCCTTTCCCTTGATAACAGGAATGAGACAAGAATGCCCACCAACACAACCCTTATTCAATATTATACTGGAAGTCCTAGCCACAGCAATAGGACAAGAAAACGAATTAAGGGGTGTGATGGATTGAGTTGTGTCCCCCAAAAATGTGTATCCACATGGGTGGGCCATAATTCTCAGTATTGTGTGACTGTCTATCATTTTGTCATCTAATGTGGTTTTCCTGTGTTGTAAACCTTACCTCTATGATGTTAATGATGCAGGATTAGAGGCAGTTTATGTTAATAAGGCAGGACTCAATCTACAAGATTAGGTTGTATCCTGACTCAATCTCTTGCTATATAAAAGAGAAGTGAGCAGAGCCATCGGGGGACCTTATACCACCAAGAGAGCAGAGCCAGGAGCAGAGCATGTCCTTTGGACCTGAGGTTCCTGCACTGAGAAGCTCTTAGAACCGGGGACGGGGAAGATTGATGACAAGGATGCTCCCCTAGAACCAACAGAGACAGAAAGTCTTTGCACAGATGACATGATCGTACACATAGAAAATCCCAAAGATTCCACAAGAATGCTGTTGGAACTAACATAAGAATTTAGTAATGCTGCATGGTATAAGATCAACACACAAAAATCAGTTTGGTTATACTTCATACCAACAAGGAAAAATCTTAAAAGGAAATTAAGAAAACAATACTACTGAAACTATTCTGTTCTGTATATCTTCATCTAAAGTACAAAAAAAGAAAAAAAGAATTATCTATGTGAGATCAAACTGACAACAGCAACTCAAAAGGTTTGATGGGAAGCCTGGGGGCAGTGAGTTGAAGATAATGGTGATGGAATAATTTGGAAAAGGATAGTGAGACTAGCAGCACAACTGGAAAAATGGAATCACTGTCACTGAATTGTACATGTAGAAATTTTTGAAATGGTGTATCTTTGGCTATGTATATTTTCACCAAAAAAGAAAAAAAGGTCCTCCAAGGTCGAGAAGGGAGAGTGTTGACATGTTGTGGGGTTGCTAACCAATGTCATAAAACAATATGTACACTGACTGTTTAATGAGAAACTATTTGTTCTGTAAACCTTCACCTAAAGTACAACAACAAAAAAGAAAACAATACTATTTACAACCTCAAAAAATCGGAAGCTTTTGTTCTTCAAAAGGACTTTACCAAAAAAGTAAAAAGACAATCTACTGTCGTATTGGTTCAATGACAGACACACAGACCAATGGAATAGAATTGAGCCCAGAAATAAATCCATCCATCTATGGACAACTGATTTTTAAAAGTTCATTCAATGGGGAAGAAGTCTCTTCAAGAAACGGTGCTGGCAAAATTGGACATCCACATGCAAAAAAATGAAACAGGACCCATACCTCACAACACCATACACACAAACTAACTCAAGACAGCTCAAAGACCTAAATGTTAAAGCTAAAAATATAAAGTTCTTGGAAGAAAATATAGGGACAAAACTATAGGACCTAAATTTTTAAAATATTATTATTAAACACAACTACAAATGCACAAATAGCAGAAGACAAACTAGATAACTGGGACTTCACAAAAATCAAATACTTATGCTAACCAAAAGACTTTATCAAGAGTAAAAAGACAACCTACAGATTGGGAAAAAATCTTCAGGGATGACAATATAAAAAATATGTATATAAAACTTCTACAACTCAACAAGAAAAGGACAAATAACCCAATTTAAAAAACGGGCAAAGGACACAGACACTTCACCAAAGAGGACATTCAAGCAGCCCAATTACATGAAAAGATGATAACTGCCATAAGCCACTGTCGTTGTTTTGTGCCGTCTAGTCGATTCAGACTCATGGTGACCCTACAGAACAGAGTAGAACTGCCCCATATGGCTTCCTAGGATGAAATCTTTATGGGAACAGATCATCAAGTCTTATCTCCCACGGAGCAGCTGGTGGGTTTGAACCGTCAACTTTTCAGTAGGAGCTGAGCTCTTAACTCTTAACCATTGTGTCACCAGGGCTCCTTCATTAGCCATTAAAACCAAACCAAACCCGTTGCCGTGGAGTTGATTCTGAATCATAGCAACCATATAGGACAGAGAAGAACTGCCCAGTAGTGTTTCCAAGGCTGTAATCTTTACAGAAGCAGATTGTCACATCTTTCTCCCATGGGGCAGATGGTGGGTTTGAACTGCTGACCTTTTGGTTAGCAGCCAACTGCTTTAACCACAGCACCACCAGGGCTCCTTTCATTAGCCATTAGAGATGCAAATCAAAACTACAATGAGATACTATCTCAGCTCTGCTAAAATAACAATGATCAAAAAAAAAACAGAAAGCAGCAAATGTTGGAGAGGATATGGGGGAGACTGGAATCCATAGGAATGTAAAATTGCATAACTTCTGTGGAAAACAGTATGGCAATTTCTCAAAACATGAAAAATAGATCTACCATATGACCCAGCAATTCCACTTCTAGGTACACACTCTAGGGATCTCATAGAAGAGACACGAACAGACATCTGCACACCTACAGTCACTACAGCACTATTCACAATAGCAAACAGAAACAACCTGAGTGCCCATCAGTGTATGAATGGATAAACAAAACATGGTACATACATACAATGGAATACTACACAGCCATAAAGGAAAATGAGTTCCTGAATCATCTTGCAGTGTGGATGAACCTGGACGACATTAAGCTGAGTGAAATTAAATCAATCACAAAAAGACAAATACTTTATGATCTCACTTTTACAAAACAACAAGAATAGGAATATATACAAAGGCCAGTGTTCAGGGGTGGAGGAGTGAAAGAAGGGGGGAAAAGAAGGGGGATCACTCTCCAGGCAGTAATCACTTCTTTTATAGTGATGGGAAAGATAGCACCAAATGCGGGTAAAGTTTGCACAGCTTGACTAGTGTGACTGGTGCCACTACGTTCTCCATCCTTAAGAAAAAGCATGAATTGGTAAATGCTATGTTATATATGGAGCCCTGGTGGCATAGTGGTTAAGTGCTCAGCTGCTAACCAGAAAGGTAGGCAGTTCAAATCCACCAGCTGCTCCTTGGAAACCCTATAGGGCAGTTCTACTCTGTCCCTACACGGTCACTATGAGTCGGAACTGGCTCAACAGCACCTAACAACAACAACATGTTATATATGGATCCCTGGTGGTGCTACAGTTAAGACCTCGGCTGCTAACCAACAGGTTGGCAGTTTGAATCCACCAGCTGCTCCCTGGAAACCCTATAGGGCAGTTCTACTCTGTCCCTACACGGTCACTATGAGTCGGAACTGGCTCAACAGCACCTAACAACAACAACATGTTATATATGGATCCCTGGTGGTGCTACAGTTAAGAGCTCGGCTGCTAACCAACAGGTTGGCAGTTTGAATCCACCAGCTGCTCCTTGGAAACCCTATGAGGCAGTTCTACTCCGTCCTACAGGGTCACTATTAGTCGGAATCAACTCGACAGCAACGGGTATATATGTTATAATTTCACAACACCCCCCTCACACATATATATAGATAGACATAATAAATCAAACAGCAGCTACAGATGCAGATACTTTAGACTAATCACCTCACAGGATTAGTTCTCTTGCTTTGAAGACTTAGGGTCACAGTCTTGTGGGTCAATTCAGTCAACTGGCATACATAGTTCATAAAGTTCACATTTACATCCCAGTTTGGTGAGTAGCATCTGGGATCTTAAAAGCTTTTGAGCAGCTATCTAAGATACAACTATTGGTCTCTACTCATCTGAACAAAAGAGAAAGAAGGAAACGAAAGTCTCAGAGAAGAAACTAATCTATAGGGCTAAGAGCCTACATGAGCCATGGCCTCATCTATCCTGAGACCAGAAGAACTAGATGGGCCCGGCTACCAGTACTGACCATTCTGATCAAGGCCACAATACACGGACTGTGATAGAATGGGAGAGAAACACAGAACAGAACTCAAATTCTTAAAAAGTCCACACTTACTGGACCAGTTGAGACTAGAGGACTCCCTGAGACTATCACCCTGACATATTCTTTAAAGCTTTAACTGAACCTATCCCCTAAGGTCATCTTTTAGTGAAATAACAAATGGGCACACAAAATAAAGGACATAACCCATGAGTATGGTGCTCTAGAAAAAACTATTTGAGACTAAACGGTCACTAATTAAAGCAAAAATGAAAAGGGGGGCAGGGAAACTAGAGTACTGGAAACAGAACTACCACAACACAATTAAAAATGTTGAGACGTTGAGAAAAATTTAACTAATGTCACTGTCATGGATAGAATTGTGTCCCCTAAAAATGTGTGTCAACTTTGTTAGGCCATGATTCCCAGTATTGTGGTTGTAACCCATTTTGTGATCTAATTTTCCTATGTGTTGTAAATCCTAATCTCTGCCTGTGGTTAATGAGGCAAGATTAGGTTATGTTAAAGAGGATGAGGGTGGGATGTAACACTCTTACTCAGGTCATAGCCCTGATCCAATGTAAGGAGACTTTCCCTGAGGTCTGGCCTGCATCACCTTTTATCTTACAAGAGAAGCCAGCAGAGAGACAGCGATCTCATTACCATAAGAGCCAGGAGGGGAATGCGTCCTTTGGACACAGGGTCCCTGTGCTGAGAAGCTCCTAGACCAGGGGAAGATTGATGACAAGGACTTTCCACCAGAACCAACAGAGAGAAAGCCTTCCCCAGAAGCTGGCACCCTGAATTAGGACTTCTAGCCACCTAGACTGTGAGAGAATAAATTTGTTTGTTGGAGCCATCCACTCGCAGTATTTGTTATAACAGCACTAGGTAATTAAGACAGTCACTGAAAAATCTGTGTAGAAACTTGTCAAATGGGAACCTAATTTGCTGTGTAAACTTTCACTGAAAACACAGTAAAATATTATTTAACAAAAAAAAAAAAAAAAAAAAAAAAGCTTGTGAGTAGCCATGTAAGATACAACTATTGACCTTTATTCGTCTGGAGCAAAAGAGAATGAAGAAAATCCAAGAATTGCAGAAGGAACTAAAATACAGGACTGTCTCCATGAACATGGCCTCCTCTACCTTGAGACTGGAAGAACTAGATGGTGCCCAGCTATAAGTACTGAAACACTCTGATCAGGTTCACAATAGATAGATCCTGATATAAAGTGGGAAAAATGTGGAACAGAACTTAAAATTCTCAAAGAATCCAGACTTACTGGACTCACCGAGAATGGCAAAATCCTGAGACTATCGCCCTGAGATACTCTTTAAATCTTGAACAGAAACTATCCCATGAAGTCACCTTCAAACTAATAGCAGGTTAGCTCAAAGAGTAAAGAATTTCACCCTTGAGAACTGTACTCTTAAAAATTATCCACAGGAGACTAAAGGGACAACAGTTACTCTAAAGCACAGATGAGACATTTAGAGTGGGGAGGGGCAGTGAGACCAAAAGACAGTAGAACAACTGAAACAGAAATAACGAGACTGTTGACACAAACTGAAAAATGTAACCAATGGCACTGAACAAACATTATGTGTAAAAACTGTTGAATGGCAACCTGTTTGCTATGGATATTTTCACCAAAAATACTACACACACACATATATAAAATCATATACGAACTTCGAACTTGTGCCTTCCCTAAAAGGGTCTCAGGGATAGGGTTGAAGGATTTAGCCAATAAACATACAAGATATTCAGTTAAATCTGAATCCCATATATACAACAATAATTTGTTAATAAAAATTTTGTTGTGTGCCACTGAGATGATTCAGACTCAGTGACCCTATAGGACAGAGAAGAACTGCCCCATAGGGTTTCCTAGGCTGAAATCTTTACAGGAACCAGGTCTTTTCTCCTGTGGAGCTGCTGGCAGGTTCGAACTACAGACCTTCCAGTTAGCAGCTGAGTGCTTAATCATTGTTCCTCCAGGGCTACTTGTTAATTAAAAATATTATTCTTTATTTATTTGAAATTCAAATGCTAACTAGGTGCCCTGTATTTTATCTGGCAATTTTACTCAGGGACTCACAAAGATTCACATTTCACATTTTGAGAACCACTGCCTTATGGCATGAGGGTTCATTCTGAACTGATTAAAAAAGGCTTAATACTATCTTAATTTTTTCATAGAAAAATCACTATCCGAAACTATTCATTTGCTTTACTTATTGTCTCCCTCCTTCAAAAACATAAGCTTCATAAGGAATGGATCTTGTCTGTCTTATTCATCCCTCTATCCCTAGCACTTAGAACAGAACCTGGCACAAAAGAAATTCAATAAATATCTGTTGACTGAATGAGTGGATAAATAAGAAACGCTGTAACACAAACACAGAATGAAGAAGCAGAACTGGGACAGAGGGAAGATTCCAGAGTTCTAGAGTACTGTAGGGGCCCCCATATACAGGTACCTACTGTTTCCTCAATCAGACAGAGGTCCACGGCCACTCAGAATGGGCATGGAAAAGGCTGGTGGTCTAAGTTTCAGCCCAGGAAGGGCTTAGGGGCTATGGACAAAAGAGGAAGGAACAAGAGGAGGCTGTGGACGAATGGGAAGGAAAAAGGTATTCTAAAGAAATGCTATCCCTGCAGCCTAGCGAAGGCTCTCCACTTTCAAACATTATCTCCAAGATAAGTCTCAATATGGCTTATGAAAAATGACTATTCTTAGAAAGATATACAAGAAAGAGAGAACAGAACCAGTTAGCCAAGGCCTTAGTGGCAGGCGGAATGTGACTCTTCTATTCACTGCACGCAGCTAAGAGGTCCAAAAGTTGTATGTACGGGGAACCAAAAAAGCAGAACATCTTCTTGGGCTTACAGAATTAAAATTGTGGTGACTCCTGATTTTTATTATTTTCTCATCAGAACTACATTATCTTAAAAATAAATATATAAATCCTCCAACCTCAATCTGAAATTATGAAGTTCTGCTAGAATACTCAGATACTTTAAACAATTGCTAAACTCTCCTAATTGCAGCCAAGTTGGTGGTTAATTTTTTTATTTGGCACGGCTTTAGTTTTAGAAAGTAATAGTTTTGGAACATATTTTAAAAATATATAATTTCTCAGTTACCTGAAATATTAGGTTCCTTTTTCATTGGTGAATAAACAGAAAACATCCACTGCCCTGATGATTCCCAAACCTCCATATCTTTTACAATTCCTTCCCTGGAAAAAAAAAACAAAAAACAAAAAACAAAGAGCAAAGGACCTTTTTCATCTGCTTGTTAAAATTTATTGTTTATGATTCTCAATGACTAAATACATAGATTTTTTTCCATTATATTTTCTGAAAAGTGTTCTTTAAAATAGTAGATTTATAACTATGAGCTACATTTCATGGTTATAAATATCAGTGCATCAGAAAAATTAATAATCTTTGTTTTTCAATACACTATTAATTAATGTATTTATTAACTGAGAACAAGCATAGGTATCATGCATTTTTTAAAGACCAAAATATAATAAAATATATAATACCAACTTCAGAATCATACAACTTTAAAAGTGGGTATAGATTTTAGAGATCATTTTGTCTAATTTTCACATTTTGCAACAGGGGAAACAGACCCACATCCATATAGCTAATTTGTTGGCAAAGCCATGGCAAGATTCAGGTCTAAATTAAATCTTTCCCCCCTACACAAAATGCTACAATTAACAAAATGATAGATATCATACAGAATACTATTATACTTAGAATTTCAACAAATACAGGAAGGAGGGCTTTGTTTGTTCTTTTACTTATTATTTTTTGCCAACTGTATATAGTACATGGCTCAAAATGTTTACCACTGGTTGTAATTTAGTTATGGGAAATAAAAGAATAACAGGCATATTTAAGTTCTGTACTGGTAGCCAGGAGCTGGAAGAATAGTTACAGATAGCCAGATACTGTATCTTGGCACCAGTCATAAATTCCACCATGAATCTTCTCAAGAAATATCTTGAATCTACTCCACAGTAATAAAGGAAACAAGTTTGAACAGTTAAAAAAAAAAGATACCTTCGGTGACCCTGAAGATTATGTGTGTATGTCTATATATATATATATGAGATAAAATACAAATATTTGATAGGCTATTTAAATCATCTTAAATTATTATTTTAAATTAGCTCATATTTTGTAAAGAACTCATTATTTACAACAAACTTAACTAGGACTAACCTTAGAAAGATAGTCATCATATAATGTTACCAACATAAAAGTGGAAAAAGCATGATTCAGTCTAAAAAGGCACTCTATTGACATAGAAAGATGATGTCTTTTAAGTGAAATAAAATCTAGGATGACATACAGGGATACAGCGTTTATCTCTGAATGATGGGATCACCGTTTTTTGGTTTTTTTTTTTTTTTAAACACATTTTACTTCTTTTTTAAAGAAAATATTGTAGGTGCTTTTGAAAAAAATAAGGAAATGGGCAATAACCTTCCCAAAGGCTTTCACTTACAGAAGTTTCTTTTCTTCTTTCTGTTCATCAGGGCTTAGAGAAGCAAATGGGTTCTGAGACAATCCAAACTCCCTGTCCCTGCTAGCTGAAGTCCCAGACTCAAAAGAACCTAATGATGACTTCCCTTGATCTCTGCTGCCCCCCCATGGCGTGGATTTGGAGAAACTGGATGGCTGTATCACACTGGAGTATCTGTGGTTAGCAGCATTCCATCCACGTCTGTTACTACCTGAAATAATCAATAAAATAAAACAATTTTACTGTCAACTCTTCTAAAAGGCATTTTTTAAATCTCTAAAAACTTCATTACATTTTATCTTAGTATGTCTAGAGATTTATACAGAGATTCAACAAGCATATTTCTACTCATTTTAAATGAAATCAAATCTCCTCATTTTCAATTTACATAGTAAAGTATATATCAAGAAATCACATAATGGTGTAATTGCATTTTTGTTTAACAAGACTGAGGATGCTAAATTCATAGATAATAATATATTACTAAATTCGGCTGACAAACTTATTAATAACTGCTTCATAGTTAAGTGGATAGAGGGTATATACCCAAAATCATAAGCTCCTTCAGGTTAGAAGCCATGTCTTATTATTCTTCGCTCCCCCACTGGGCCCCATAAAGCAGTAAAAGCTGAAAAATGATCACTGAATTAAAGAGTTTACTGAATACAAAACATTAGATTTTACCCTCTCTTCTTGAATAGATGCTTAAATCTATTTGACTCAGTCTTCTCTGGGAAAAACACCACCTACCCACCTATCTTTCATAGGGAGATTACAGAAGGACATTTACATGTGAATAAAGTACATTGAGTTCCTCTATCATGAGCAGATATCTGGTAATAAAGTATTATAACCCATTCAAAATATTTTATAAATATCAAAATGAGCCAGCAAGACTGTCTCTCTGCTCTTATTTTTTTGTACTGTGGTGAAGTATGTATCACAAAGTATTTGCTGTTTCAATCAGTAGTAAGCATGGAATTCACTGACATTAATCACTTACATGGTGCTGTGCAACCATCACTTTACATTTTGAAAAAATTTATCACCTCTAACAGAAACTCTGTTTCGCTGAGGCAGTAACTCTCATTCATTCCCTCCCCCATCCCCCGGTGTTGTTGATGTTAGCTGCCATTGAGTGAAACCCCAATTTATGGCAACCTATGCACAACAGGATCAGCCACCCCGTGATCACTAGGCTTTCTTTTTAGTCTTAGTCTGGATAGGTGGTGGCTGCACATGAGGTGCACTGGCTGAGAACAGAATCCAGATCTCCCACGTGGAAGGTGAGAATTCTACCAATGAACCACCACTGCCACCAGCTCCCTGGTAACCACTGATAAAACTTCTGTCTCCAAGCAGTCCCTGTTCTAGACATTCCATATAAATGAAATCACAGTATTTGTCCTTTTGGGTCTGACTTACTTGACTCAACATAATATTATCAAGTTTTATCCACATCATAGCATGTAATAGAAATTCATTTCTCTTTATAACTGAATAGTATTCCATTGTATGTATATATCACAATGTATCTGTTCATAATAGCCACCTTTTGGCTATTATAAATAATACTGCAATAAACACTGGTGTACAAGTACCTGTTTGTGGCCTTGCTTTCAATTCTTTTGGATATATACAGTGAAATCTGTGAGAGCTGGAACTAGATGGAACAGCCTTGTTTTTCCAGGTCTTGCAAGTTTTCTGCTTTGACAGGGTGCCGTCTCACCACTTTTCTATTGCTCTCTATTAGTGAAAAATATTTGTGTTTTCCTTCTCAGACAGGCTTCCGCCTTACACAGGTTCCAGTTTTTGTAGGTTTTACTGTATCTAAGAGTGTAACTGCTGGATCATATGGTAATTCCATGCTTAATTTTTTGAGGAACTGCCAAACTGTTTTTTACAGCTCCTGCCCCATTTTACAATCCTACCAGCAATGGATGAGTGTTCCAATCTCTCCACATCCCTGCCACCACTTGTTATTTTCTTTTTAACTGTTAATAGCCATCCTAGGGCATGTGAAGCGGTATCTCACTGTGGTTTACGTTCAAATTTCCCTAATGATTAATGGAAGTCCCTAGGTGGTGCAAATGGTTAATGTGCTCCTCTGCTAACCAAAAGATTAAGTACACCCAGAGGTGCCTCAAAAGAAAGGCCTAGCAATCTACTTCTGAAAAATCAGCCACTGAAAACCCTATGGAGCACGGCTCTACTGACACATAGGGGTCGGGTCACCATGAATCAGAATCAACTCAACAACGTTTTTTTTTTTTTTAAATGATTAATGACACTAAGCATCTGTTCATATGCATTTTGGCCACACATATATCTTTCTTTGGACAAATGTCTATTTAAGTCTTTTGTCCTTTATTTATTTATTTTTTTGGAGCCCTGATGGTGCAGTGATTAAGACCAAAAGGTCAACAGTTTGAATCCACCAGCCACTCCTTGCAAACTTAATGGGGCAGTTCTACTGTCCTATAGGGTTGCTATGAGTTGGAACTGACATGATGGCAATGTTATGGGGTTTGGTCCATTTTTTAAAATCTTGTCACTTCAACCACCTGTTTTATCATCAATTACTACTAGGGGCTAAGATTAAAGTAACTAAATTAGGAGACATGCCATTAAATATATTCAAAATTGGAGTGACAGGAGGTATACCCACTTACGAAAGTTCATCTCCCAATTCTAAACTACTTAACAAAACCAAAGAGAAAAGAGAGAATATTGCTGGGCCAGATCCCTCAAGTAGGGGTTAATGGTATCTTATTTTTTTTAAAGTTTCAAATCCTTTTGGATGACACAACTGAAAAAATTTACTTTTTCCCTTTGTATATTGCTTTTTAGCCTTGATATTTATTAATTCCAAGAAGCATTCATTATTTCTGGGATACACTGTTAACTTTCCAAGAGTTTTATTTACACTTTTTTCATTCACCAATCTAACCATTCAACATTTACTTTCTAATTATTACATTTAGAATGAGTCTCCACAGAACGTCAAATATTACATTCTGCTGTCCCTGAAAGTACACTCACACTTACCAAACCCCAAGACCTAATTTTTGGTTTGGGATATTTCATTAGACCAGTCATGGATGATATAAAAGGGATGTCTTCAAGAGGAGGAGGGATCAGACATGAAATCACAATACAACACAAGGTTTAAGGGTCAGATGAATAGCTCTAGTGGAGGCAAGGAACACAGCACCTGGTGACACCCTTAAAGGCTAAGTTCCATTCCTAAAAAAGTAAAACCTAAATATTCATGTAACCCTTAAACCCTGTGTTATATCGTGGTTTCAAGTCTGATCCCTCCTCCTCCGGAGTACAGTACTTTTGTATCACACAACTGGTCTAGTGAAATATTCCAAACTCTTCCACAGTGACCTAGGCCCAGAGAGCGGGTCAAAGGGACCCCACACTCCCTCCTCTCACAGTCCAGCAAGTTCATAATGGTTCATCCCACCCTCCCAATTTTATTCTAAATTTTATGAACACGTGCATTTTTCTGCGGTATGGTTTCGCAGGTTTTACCTGATTCTCAAAGGAGTTCATGACTTCCCCAAAGAGTCCTGATTCTGACCCAAGTTGCCGGCCTCTCCCTCGATTTAACAGTTTAATAAGAATTATACACAAGGGGTCAAGGAAAAATAAGCACACACAAGGCTATTAAGAAAAGAAGGCGTCAGGGACTAGCTACACGAATCCCCGAAACATTGCGATTTACAGACAGTTTTGACGCGTACTTGACGATTTAAAAATACCTTGTTTGGCATGAACACCCACTGCCAAACCTCTGTCCTCAGCCGCTCAACAAACACCAACCACGTGCTTAATACGCAGATTAAAAACTGGATGCCCGGCCCGGGAGGGGTTGGCGGAGGCCGAAGACGCGACGCGACGGCGCGTAGTCACCTGACCAGCGCGCCGCGGCGTTTGTCGATCCAAGGGACTCTAGCTTTAGGCCCCAGGGGCCAGCCATTCCTCGCCGCCGGATCCCCACTCCCCACCCTTCACACGCCGGCGCCTTCCCGGCTTAGCAAGCGGCGGAGGGTTTAGGGGCATGTCACCTGAGGGCTGTTGCTGAGGCTGCTGACGTCCTCCGCTCGCACCCTTGGCGCCGGGATGTTCATTCCAGCACCGGTCTCCAAAGCGGCACCGGCCTTGAAGGAAGAATTGACAAATGGTCATTGAGACGGTTCGCCTACAGAGCGGTCTTCAGCCAGCACGCCCGGCGAGCAGCGAGACCTGAACAACCGAAGGCGCTCAGCCCCTCTCCTGTGACATCATCTTCGCGCGGCCGAGAAAAGGCGTTTCTCTCTTGTCCCGCCCACAGTGCGATGAGAGGCGTGGGTTTTACCCAATAGGATTTAAAGAGAGCGCGACGCATCGCGTATGGCCTGGGAAGGCGGGACACTTGAAACGTTTCTCTGAGAAAGGGAGGCGCCTTTGACCCTGGTGCAGAGTCTTGGAGCGAGCCTTGAGTTCCAAAAGGAGAGGAAAACGGATCAAAGAAAAGCCAGAACTTCGGAGAGGCCCTGCGAGGGGGATTAGCTGTGATTTGAGAGACCGAGTTGTTCTTTTCAGTTGTAAATGCTGTTAAAAATAAAACAAATTTGAACATGAGGTTTATTCTGAGCAGTTATTCTATACGCACATTAAAACAAACAAAAAAACCCTAGTAGATTCCGACTCATAGCGACCCTATAGGTCAGAGTAGAATTGCCCCATAGAGTTTCCAAGGAGCGGCTGGTGGATTCGAACTGCCAACCTTTTGGTTAGCAGCCTAAAGCCGAGCCTAGCGCCACCAGGGCCCCTAACCGTGCCTGTGTGTTTATATGTGATTCCTTTATGCATATACGGAGATCATTTTGATTCCAGAAAAAGCAAATGGCTGGCAGGTAGGTACGGTGGGGCTTATAAAGAGTAGAGGAGGGAGGAATATAGACTATCAACCATTAGCTAATCTTAACATGATTGATTGGACCCTACCTTACCTCCTTTACTGAAATTAACTGATATCAGGTTACTTCTGGCCTGGCTGCTAATAATTTGGCCCTCCACACACCTGCAGCCAAGAGACTTTTTGAGATGTAAATTAGGAGGTAATGGTTTGATGACTATCCTTTTCTAGCAGAACACGACAAATTAACATTGCTATAGAGCAGTTTCTGGCAGGGTTTAGCAGTTTGGGTCAGGCTTTTATGGTTAATATTTGGTTTCATGGATAAGAAAAAACCTTAAAATCAAAGTAAGATGTCTGTTATGTTGTAGGGAAAAACATCACAAAGTTTAGTGAAGCCAAAAGAAATTTTATTTGGCATACATTCAAAAAGGCAAAAGTGGGAAGCGGACAAGTATGCTGCCAGAATCATGTCTGCCCCAGTCCAAGGAAATATTACAGAATAGGCAAGAGTAGGAAAAGGGACAAGTATGCTGCCACAGCCATGTCTGCCCGAGTCCAAGGAACGTTACAGAACCATCAGTATATATTAACATTACAAATGGGCAAAACCATGGAAAGCTTCACCTTTTCACAGATTGGCTAGAAACTGTGATCTTACATTTTGAATCGTCTTTCTTAACAATCATTGGTACAGGTTTCAGTAATGATAGTCAGGAGGGTCCTCACTGGTCCAACAAATTTTCTATTCATTAAATGCTAATCGAAAAAATAAGAGTGGAAAGTCTTTTGTGTTCTGTTTGAATGGTTTATGTGAAAGTTTCCCTAAAAGATATTTTCCAAGATTATTTTAGCTATTGTCTTTATACCTCAGGGCCCAGTTGATGTGTCTTTGTGAGCCCTTGTGAGCCCAGCTCCAGCTAGGTCACATTCTCTATGCTCACGCATAGGGACTATTAACTCCAGTATTATTTCCTAAATCAACTGCAAAGTCCAAGGACCTGGTGATCTTCTTCCATAAATATTACAACCTAGGAAACCCTATGGGACAGTTCTATTCTGGATGGCACACAACATCAACAACAAATTTAACAGGAAGCAATGTTTGTTTTTAGGACACACTGCGGCTGAAAAGTATAACCTCTTTCTTTGAGGTGATTACTATCAAAGAGAAATTGATAGCAGATACCTTGCTTTGACTTTAGGGTTTCTTACTCACAAAACCAAATATTCACTTTAAAGAAATCCCTGACCAAAATTAACCAGCCAGCAGTTTGTCTTTCACCCAAAGTTACAAATCCTTTCTTTCCTGTCCGAAGCCAGGCTTGGCTTACTAAATTTGAATTTCAAAAGATATGGCTGGGTGGAGGGGCAGAGACCATTTTGTGAACTGATACCCTTTGATCTCAGTTAAAGGGGGAGGGCAGGGTTCAATCAATCATGTTAAGATTAGCCAGTGGTTGATTGTCTAATGTTTCTCCCTCCTCTTTATAAGACTTATTGTACCTAGCTCCTTCAAGCTATTTTCTGTTTCTGGAATTGAAATGATCTCCCTATATGCATATGGAGTCCTGGTGACAAAGTGGTTAAGAGCTTAGCTGCTAACCAAGAAGTCAGCAGTTGGAATCCACCAGCCGCTCCTTAGAAACCCTATGGGGCAGTTCTATGCTGTCCTATAGGGTCACTATGAGTTGGGATGGCTCCAGGGCAATGGGTTTGGTTTGGTTTTTGGTATATGCGTATAACTAACTGCTGAGAATAAAACTTATGTTCAAATTTTGATGGATTTTGATTATTTCTAACACTACCAATTATATTCTTACTCATTGAGAAACCTGGTTCTTTAAAGTTCACATAAATGTTATCATTTGAAACAATAGCAGTAAGATTAAAACGTCCCGCTCTTGCCTAGAAGATCGAAGTCACTTTTACACAGAGAAGCAGTCTCAATCTGTACCCAGGTACAGAGCTTTAGACAAAGGGTTTTTGAAAACAGCATATTTTCTTCTTAACTTTGTAGTTTCCAAGGAACATGACACTTCTCAGTCCAGACCTGATGTTGATGCTACACACAGCTCTGCTTTGCTTTCAGCCTATCAAAACTGCTTCATTTAAATTTTGCCTAAACTCTACCCTCCCAGTCCTACAATAACTCTATTTTTCAGTTGTTTACTGAACTCCGGAGATGCCTCACAGTTCCTCTTATGTGTAGACTCTGTCCTTGCAGTGAGTCAGATCTGATTTTGTTGGATTACAGGTTTGTCCCTGGTCGTGTTATCACAGGAATGCGGATTGGAGCCGCCTGCCGCAATAGCCAGTTCTGAGACAGTGGTGAGGTGAACAGCAAGAGTTTTATTATATATCGATATATAAGAGACAGAGGGAATAGATTCCTCCAAAAGCCGTCTCCCCGAAGGCTTATGCGTCTTAGAAGTTTGTGTTAGTTCCCCCTTGAGGTGGTCATGTCCCAGATGAGTTAATCTTTTTTGGGGGGTTATCTGGCGACATCCTGATTTTCTTGTCCCAGGATGGGTGCTTTGTTCGGTTTGTCATTCCTAGATCATTATCACTTGTTTTCCACCCTCCAAGGAGGAACATAGGTTAATTAATCTTAAACTTTTTATAGAGACTGGAATGGGAGGGAAAAACAAGATCATGAGACAATGTGGAGGTCAGCAATGGGGAGTAATAATAGTGAACTGGACCTATGCAGCCTCTTCCAGTGGTTTGGAGATGATTGGGCTAGGGGTGAGCCTCATTCTTGCCCACACATTTTGTTTGGGTTTTGGAAACAACAGACTCTACAGCAGCACAGGCAACAACGGGTACAAACCAGTTTTTTTATTTTTAAAAATTAATTTTATTTATTTTGAAACAACCTAATTTATGCAAGAGTTAAACTATAGTACGCAGAACTTTTCCCCCTAAACTGTTTGATAGTGTGTTGCCCATCTGATGCCCCATTACTCCAAATACTTATTTGTATTTTCCACAAACAAGAACATTCTCTTCCATAACCACAATACAGTCATCAAAATTAGACATTAATTCTGATGCATTACTATCTAATCCTCAACCTCCATTCCAGTTTTGCTAATTTCCCAATAATGTCCTTTAAAGGAAAGAATCATTGTTGCCTTTCGTCCTAAGGTAAAATCACCACAAGGTTACAATAAAGCAATAAGAAAGATTTTATTCAGCGTATGTTCTGTTCTAGGGGAAAAACATCATAAATTTTAGTAAAGCAAAAAGAAAGTTTTATTCGGCATATATTCAAAAGGGCAGAAGTGGTAAGCGGACAACCATGTCTGCCCAAGTCCAAGGAAATATCACAGAACAGACAAAAGTGGGAAAATGGACAAGCATGCTGCCACAGTCATGTCTGTCTGAGTCCAAAGACCATTACAGAGTCATCAGTATATATGAACATTACAAATGGTCAAAACCATTGAAAGCTTAGCCTTTTCAGACTGGCTAGAAACTGTGATCCTACATTTTGAATTGTCCTTCTTAACAATCATTGGTACAGGTTTCAGTAAGGAGAGTCAGGAGGATCTTCATTGGTTCAACAAATTTCTATTCACTAAATGCTAATAGAAAAAGATAAGAGTGGAAAGTCTTTTGTGTTCTGTTTGATTGGCTTTATGTGACAGTTTCCCTAAAAGATAGTTTCCAAGATGATCTTAACTATCATCTTTACACCTCAGGGCTGAGTTGATGTGTCCTTGTGAGTCCTTGTGAGCCCAGCTCCAGCTGAGTCACATTCTCTATGCTCAAGGAGAGGGAATAATAACTCCAATATTATCTCCTAAATCAGTTCCAAGAGGCAAAAGTGGGAAATGGAGAAGCATGCTGCCAGAGCTGTGTCCAAGGACTGTTACAGAGTCCTACGTATATATTAACATTATAAATGCATAAAATCATTAAAAGTTTCACCTTTTCACACATTGACTAAAAACTGCTAAATCACTGTGATTCTACCTTTTGAATTGTCTTTCTTAATAATCATGGGCACAAATTTCAGTAAAGACAGCCAGAAGGGTCTTCACTGGTCCAGCAAATCTTACTTTTTAATAAATGCTAATAGAAAAAGGTAAGAGTGGAAAATATGTGGGTTTGTGGAAGTATTTGTTTATGTGAAAGATTCCCTAAAAGAAATTTTCCAAGATTGTTGTAGCTACTGTTTTTATACCTCACGGCCCAGTTGATGTGTCCTTGTGAGTCCTTGCGAGTCAAGCTCCAGCTGGGTCAAATTCTTTATCCTCAAGGACAGGGAATAATGGCTCCAATTTTAACTCCTAAGTCACTTTATATTTCTTTAGTGGCTTTCTCAGTCTTCCCCTTGCCTTTTATCACCTTGACACTATTGAAGATCACAGGCTATGTATTTTGTAGAATGTCTGTCTCATGTTTTCTCATTAGATTCAGATTATCCATCTTTTTCAGGATTATCACAGAAGTGATGCTGTGGTCTTATTGCATCTATCAAGTGGTCTACAATTTCAATTTGTCTCATTACTTTTTTTTTTATTGTACTTTAGATGAAGGTTTACAGAGCAATTTTCTCATTAAATAATTAATACACATCTTGTTTGGTGACATTGGTTGCCAACCCCACTACATGTCAATACTCTCCCCTTCTCAATCTTAAGTTCCCCATTATCAGCTTTTCTGTCCCCTCCTGCCTTCTCATCCTTGCCCCTGGGCTG